TAACCATCGAAAGAGTTAATCATAAGGATTATTTTTTCCTAAATAACATAGCATTGTAAATAAAAGGAACATCATGATATTATAATTAGATTGTATATCATCAACTTTATCATATTAGTGTCCTCACTGCTTGCGTTGTCTGGGTGCGGGGACGCGTCAAAGTCCCTCAACGGGGATCTCGCGGTCCCGCACTTTACAGCGTAAAGCGTATTAGCAGGGTTTTTTAGCGGTTAAATCAACGAGTCCAATTCTCTTTTTCCCAAAAAACAGTTAATAACGGAGTATTACTCAACTCAACATTAGAACTATTCTATCACAATAGACCACTGAAAACACAAATTCAATTCTAAAGTGAAAACTGTATGTAGTAAGTCACTCGGAACAAACAAACACAACTAATACTGGAAATAGAAGTTACAGCTACGTTCACTTGCTTATGGTATATTTCGATTCGATTCTATAGGAATCGATATCCTACACAATCGATTTATAAATGTTTTATTTTTCAATGCAAATGCTTTAAATGTTCAAACCATGAGTTAATTTATATATGATTAAGTAATTATATATAACATAACTGATAATTTAAACAAAAATATATTCCCTTTTTTAATCTAAGAGTACATACAAAAGTTTTTGTATGCGATCTATTTTGATAAACAAAATTGTCTGCAGTCAAAAAATCCTCTTTTACTCAGCCCATTAAGTTCCTTGGTAAGTAAGCCCATCCCTGGTACAGTGAGATAGTCACAACACAGGTCTTACATATGGTAACTTCATGAATTTAATGTTATTTATCATGATAAAATATATAAGTATCCCATCATACAAACATTTGTCTCACCGGAATTTGAACCCAGGCTCTCTGAATAGGCGATTCGGGGAAAATAATCCATCCATCCATCCATCCATACAAAAATCAAATAACTCGAATCGAAGACCACAAAATAAAAAATGACTACGAAATAACTAATGATCATTATTTCGTAGTCATTTACGGTGGTTGGTAAAAATGTTTCAGACTATTTATAATTGTTATTTGTCTCCAATTATAATAAAACATTTTATTTATTCTTTTTGAAGTGAAACTTCTTTACGCACGCTTGACTTGGGGAGTAAGCTGGCGAACGTAAGCGTTACGAAAAGTGTGATCGGGCGAGGCGACCGGGAGTTGAGTGGGAGATATAAGCAACAGAAAGCAATGCGCGTGCACATTTTCTTTCTCTCTTCCTCTCATAGCTAAATACATTCCGTATATCTAAGTACAGTGCAGGCCGTGTAGGAGCAAGAGAGAGCAGTGCGCGTGTATATTTCCTTTCTCTCTTTCTCTTACAGCTAGAAAATGAAAGAAGTTTCACTTCAGTCGTGTGGTCATAAGCACACTCTTTTTTTTAGAATATTTAAGTAAAGAAATATGATCGTTTTTTTTTCCTACGATAGTATCGACTAGGTATACAACTTTTGTCTATGGTTATATGGTCTATTCTGTGGTAGAATTTTTATTCAGTTTAATATCCATTTATTTAATATTTTATAAATCCGCTTAATATTTAAATAATAATTACACATATGAAATGATAATTCAGGAGAAGATTTTTGATACATAAATGTGTCAAGCGCAATCTAGACGGATTTGCCCATTCTCCTTTCTTTAGCAATATTCTCGAACAATGAGCTTTTTTTTTTCTCGAGCACACAAAAGGCTTTTATGAAGTAACCACTTCACAATATAAAAATATGATTAAGAAAGTATACTGTCTATCTTTGTCATTTCGTGACATTGTATCTTTTCTGACCAGGCACTTCTCTATTGTTGGTCCGTGAAAACGTGGCTTAATTGGGATTATGAGAATTACATTCGGCAGAATAGGCCATAAATAGCAGTGTCCCTCTCTTACACGACCCGCGCGCACTTGAGCCTTACTCGAGAGCACTCGTAAATCTGACCTCTTGTGTCCGACCTCGGGCTCTATTATATCTTGTAGATGACTCAACTTATATAGGTCATCGCCATCAATGAGACGAACGCAATCTTCGCTATTGTTTCTAAATTCCTGTACAAGGACTCGGTATCGTAAAATCTTTCCTTTTATAGAAAACACTTTCTTTTTTAATACTTTTAGAGCCACTTGCGCTAAGATTCTTTATTCAAATTAAGGCTTATCAAATTAATTGTGCTAATAAGCCTGATAAGGCTTAAATGCGATTAACACCAACTTTAATACATTAAAAAAATATTCCATCTTTGACAATGGTTTATAACACATTAAAACAATCCAAAAATTTTATATTATCATATTTTTTTACTGAGATCTGATTTGAAAACTTTGGTGAAGGTGTAAGCCTTATTTTTTCAGTTTTATCTATTAGATACGTCATAAATCCTTAATTCGCATGAGCTATCATCTTTTCCACAAAGAACCCAATTAGGTAAGTACCTTTTGAGTACAGAGGAGTCATTTCCCGGTAACTAATTCATTTTCAATTTGATAAAGGACTGTCTGTGAATAAGAAGGAGAGCCGAGCTGCAAATATCGCTGTTTGACAACTGTAATGGTTACAATTACAATCCATTTAATAGGACACTGGCTTAAATACTATAATAAATTTAGTACTTCTTAAATACTATCATGAACGTTACTGACTTTGGTTTCGGGCATAAAATAAAGATGATAACTTTAGCGTGATATTATAGTAGTTTATGATACTGTTGCATAATAAAGGTTCTTATAACACACGAGTGTTATAAGACCACGTTATGTACAGTGTCATACACTACTTTATCTACTCTCATACTATAATACGTAAAACAATATTGCAAATAAAACGCTGAATATAACAACAAATTTATTTTTACTTGTAATAATTATTGATGTTTGAATATTACAATTATGAAACTGAATTTGAACCGGACAGGAAACGTTATTGGAGGTACTCAGAAAGGGTATGTTAATGTTGACCTCATTTCTGTTATTTTCAATACTGTATTGAATTGGATACAGCGATCTTGTTAGTCATTGAATCATCTATATAGCCTTCTGCAACTGTCGTTGACTTCCAGCCACCGTGTCGCTTTAGTGCCGTTATATCTCCACCTCGTCAACGTCAACTAACAAGGTCACAGATGTTCGGCGAAAGCAGTGTCCTGTGTACAATTCGGGGTCGGTAAGTTGAAGATAGCTGGCAATAACTTTGCCTAAAGCTCCAAATTTGTTAATGCCAACTCTCTACATCGTGCATTTTCCGGCAATATAGTTTAGATAAAAACTGGGATTGCTGCACTCATTTGGTCGTAGCTCTATGTATTTTTTGCATTGTTCATAATATTTCCCAGTAACGGTAAAAGAGCGGTCCGTCTTGGTTTTAGTTTTACTTATTTTGATCAATAGTGTAGTTTCGAAGACTTCAACATTCAACATTTGTATGTTGTATAACTCTTGCAGTCGGCAAGCACCCATTATACAAAAAATAGTGCAATCTGTAACAACTCATATATATATATATATATATATATATATATATATGAGTTGTTATAATATATATATGTATATATATATATATATATATATATATATATTACGGTAAATTAACTCAATATTAACAAAAAAAATGTACATGGTTAACTGATAAACAACTAAAATACCTTTGTGAAGAGATATAATGTGTCTGGGGCTTCATTTAAGAACTTATTTATCTACTCTGCTGTAAAAGTCTTGGATTGTTTCCCTTTATATCCTTGTGAGTTTCGTTTCAAAAATGCAATCAGCTTGCTATATTAAGTTATGTCAACTTCGTTGTAAATATTGAGTGTACTTTTAATCATGGAGTATTTAACCCACATACTTGACACTTTATATTTTTCAGATAACTCTTGAAAGTACGCTAACAACACATTTTCAGAATATGATGTAGCATTTTTATTCATTTTCCATTCCATGAATTCGTGGTAACATTTATTATCCTAGATTTCGCCGGCAGCAGGTTCATGGTCATTTTTGACGCAGCTTCCAGAATGTCTGGTGGTGTACAATCACCACTATCCCCGCTTTCAGACATGTTTTTACACAAAAACTTATGTATTTTACAAACAAAACCAAACTTTGTTTAAATATTGAAAATATTTTTTAAATGTCAAATGTTGGCGCCAAGGTGCAAACATAGATTGCGCATGCGTGTTGCGTCGTCGCAGACGTGTTCATTGAAACCTTTTTAAAGTAGAGGTTCAACCTCCTTGGTCCAGCTGGAGGTTTTATAGGTGTATCGTTATGATTAAAAAGTTAAATTATGTTACAGGTGTCCATACAAGACCTGTATCGTAATTTTTTTTTTTTTTATTATCTTTGGCCTGTACGTAATGATTGTCATAAGCATTTTGTTTTCAGTTTTAGAATCTTTGTATTATAGTATCAGAGTAGATAAAGATAATTTATTATAGGGAGTCGGTATGACGTTTGTCCAACGTTTTTCCAATCAGCACTTAGCTGTGTCCGCATTGAGCTGGGTCACGGCCCATTTCTATCTATAGGAGTGGCCTGTGGGGCAGCAATGGGAACATTAATAGGATGATGATGATTCTGGTCATACATTCCAATACATACTGTGTTGGAATGATTTGGAATCAAACATTCATTATATACTACTGGATTTATATAAATAAATTTAATTTCTTTTTTTTTTTTTATTCTATTTAGATATTTTGTTCTCGAATCTATTTCATGTAAACTCTCTGTCTTTTTTATACTGCGTGGGCAATGAGTGGGAGGCAAATGAGCTAGCAATCCATCTGATGGTAAATAGCTATTACAGTTTATAAATGTCTGCAACAACTGGGGTGTTAAATGTGCGTCACCAATCTTGTTTAAGTCGTAAAACTCGGAAAACTTACGCCGTAGAACGCTAGAAACTTACAAATACAACATCATCAATAGGTAGGTACCTATATCTTTGTGAAAGACATTACTTTGGTGGAAATCTGTGAAATACTTAAAACTGTCAGAATAACAATCTTGTTTCATACCGTGTCTAGGAATTGTGCCACTTCTTCGTAATCATATGATTTTGCGAGTGCTGCACTTTCAATGAGTGCCGCCCGCGCTTCGGGCCTGTTGTTTTGCTGCAAGTGACAACGCGCCAGCAAGAAGGACGCGTTCAATAACCAGATACGCTGGTCTGAAGACCTTGCCACTGTGGGAGAAGTAAGGACACTAAAGTAATTGAATAGCTTAGTTAAAGTTACATAGAATTGAGATGTTTAATCCTAGTAGGGGATTCACTGCACAAAAATGTTTTGTTTCAACATACAATTTATAGATTGTCTTCAAATTATTAAGAAAATTAATATTGTCTGGCTGCCCGTGCAGATATTACAACGGTTTTGGATAGACGCTACCATTGATTGAATTTTTATTTTTTTATATAAATTTTAATTTACTAATACTGGACCGACAAAGCAATGTAGTACTATCAGACAAGTCCATCCAGCCTGATGCCTAGGCCGCGTTGATTTTTTTCAGCATATCGATGATTTTGTGAGATTTTTTGAGAGCGTTCTGTGATATAACTACATGGAGATCAAAAAATTTTAAAAGCACACGCAACCACCAACAATCTAGTCGTGGTCCGGTCACGTACTAAATCAGTATCATAACCAGAGTCTTAGTATCAGTACCTACCTGTTTGGCATTTCAAAGCAAAGAATCGAGCTCTTTGCGCTTGCTTGGTATCCGCATGAAGTCTGGCGAGTTCGTGGAGGAGATAGCATCTTTCTGAAGGCCTCGTGCTCATGGACAAAGCTCGCTCCATAGTACGCAGACGTTGCCTGAGAGTAGTATTGCATTTGTATTCTAATTACCATCAGATATGTAAGTATTGAGGGAGCTCCAGTCAACATGATTTTTTACAGAAGCTTTTATTACGCGCATGCGCTTAAACAAGCTGATGGTAAGTTATTATTGCCGCCTATAGATATTTGCGGCACCAACGGTGTAGGAGCAATGGAAGAACGTTCTCTTCTCTGATGAGTCGAGAGTAGCTTTAAGAGGTCCTGATGGACGCCAGCGAGTGTATCGACGGCCGGGTGAGCGGTTTGCACAGTGTGCTGTAGGCGAAACAATGGGCTTGGTGGCTCAGTAATGGTATGGAGTGGAATTTATTATGAGGCTCGTACAGAGTTCGTTTTGTTTGATAGAAGCAGCGTTAATTCTCAGATGTATGTGGCCTATTGGCGGTTGCTTGTTTTGAATATTTTATATAAACTTAGGATGTGGATATAATAGGTATTACATAAATATTTTCACATTTGGAACCCATTGCCATTTAACATCAGGTGGGGTGTTGTCATTTGCTTGGTCTTTCATATAAAATTTGCGATTATATTAAAAGAACCTCGATTGGCTGAAAACCAACGATACACATTGTATTTTTATATTAATAAATCAATATCCGGAGTATTCCGCAGTGAAAAGTAAATCCACAACATATTTATTGGCGCTCATATTTTATTAATTTAGTTTCCAAACAAGTGAAAATCTTATTATGCAGGATGGAAGCGTGGGCACAATACTCTGGGGCTTTGATGGAGGAAGAGGCTTAGAATACAAAATTTATATAAAATTTACTTGACATCTCTTGGGGGCGCTGGTGGTCTGGCTTTCAGCACAGAGTCCCTGCTCGGCTCCCGGGACACGTACATTCCAAGAAGTATGAACGCCCTCTTTTCACGGTCAGACTCGCTCATGGATTCCTTGACGCATTTCTGAATACAGTGGAAAATATATTATCCATAAGCATTTGTTTTTTGACAAAAGATAACTATATCGACAAAAACTAATGAAGCGGGCAATGATAATTATGTCCAATTCTTTAAAACACAAATCTTATGACTTTCATAAATAAAATTTAGGTACACTATTAAATACATTAGTTAAATACATGAAGAAGCTGTAGGTCTTATATCTTTTGCCGCTTATCACTGCAGGTTAAATTCGATGAAGAACATGGTCGTAAATAGCAAACGTAACGCTGCACAAACTTCTTCGACTGTATTATATTTCGAGTCATATTCAAATTTTATTTTGTACTGATATTATGATAAGTAACGAAATATATACCTGTTCCAAAAACGCTTTTGCCACGATATCATACAGCTGTTGCAAATATTTCTCCTTTGCCGGCAATAGGCGGGCTGATTTCCGCGAGATCTGCTCCATTGCGAATTCGGCGCTTTCCAAGCATTTCGCAGCGTCCCTTTCCTCGTAAGCTGATTGGGCCGCATGAATCAATCTTTGAGCGTCGATTGTGTGTTGACGTTGAGCGCGCGTCAATTGTTCTTTCCGGGCACGGAACAGCCGAGCGCGCGCTGCAACCTCAGATGAACGAGCGGCGTATAACGGGCGTCTTTTACGGAGAACGGCCTAAGAATGATTTATTTTCGATTATTATCCAATCACTTAATTAGGATATGGTGCTGGTTTTTAGTAAGAGGAGATACAGCGAAGTGATCGGAGTCACTGCTGGGTGGCCGCCTTAACAGGCCCTTCTCAGGACCAAAGGTGGCATTCGAGGGACCTCAGTCCTTAGAATGTACGCTGGATAATTAGTGCAATAGTCTGTAGTTTTAGTGGGTGCAGTGCTATTCTGTAAGAACAAACTCACTTTTGACCAAGGAATCCGCGATGTGGTTTATAATTAAAATAATAATATAAAATAAATTTCAAAACACACAGACTTTGGCGGTGAAAAGTGACTATGTTCTTAAAGTGCTGCTTGCTGAAATGAGCAGGTAGGAATCTCCACGTATTTTCATTGCAACTCTGAGTAGCGAGGAAGGCGTTCCGCCATTCTAGGCTCAAAAAAGTACAGTTAGTGCTGTGTCCTTTTTCTTTGGCTAATTTTGCCCGCAATCAGGTCATTTTCCAAAGGTTTTACTCTCGCACAAAGGCGCATAAAAGTCTTGTTGCAGTAGTTTTAACGAGAGTCTACTCAACATGACTACGTGTAGATATGGATGTGTAGATTACTGGACCCAAACAGTTCACATTTTGTGATTAGTTTTTATGGATGATGCTGATATTAGAGCATAAAATTTAGTTTGCTTATCACCTGTCTATTTTCAACGTCGGCAAGTGCTTGTTTAGCCAAGTCCTGTAATTTTATAGATCCTTGCTTGTTCGCTGACAAAAGTCTTTCGTCCTTGCAAAGTGCCGTAAGAAAATACTTATCGTGGGCCATTCTTTCTAAGTATTTGGATGCCATGAGTCGTGAAATTTGATCAGCTCTCTGCCTTTCAGCGTGGGATATCTCTTGAACCTGGTTTCAAATTTCAATTAAGATCAGCGATTCGTGTTTTGCCAAAGCTAAAAACATTACTTTTATAAATGTGGTAAGGTACTTATTAACTTAATAAGTTCTATTTGTTTTTGTAAGATAAATAATAAAATAATTATAAAAGAAGAGCATACGATAGTAGACTTATAATGTTATTTTAATTACTTAAAATTTTGAACCTACATAAAATAACTTTTTATCATATTAAATCGAAAAAAGCTTAATCTTTTTTTTACTCGTTTGTTAACTAAATTATAATTATATGGTTGCAGGTATTTTTTCTTTGTTAAAAGGGACCAAAACAGCGTTTTAATCCCTAGGGACTAAAAGTGATGTGAATTAGGAATATGAATTATTACCATGAATATCTTAAGAACAAGTTACTAGCTGTATAAAACTAACCGATTGATTTTTACGCGAAAAATGACAATTTAAAAGATGATCTGCTAACTTCCCGTAGCACTGTTCACAGAATTTTATCCTATTTTAAAACTTACCTACATGAAAATTTGCAACTGAGACAATAATATTGTCATCCTATTATTTGACCAGGTCATCCCCTGGGAGGACCGGGTCAAGTACTTGGGAGTTACGTTAGATAACCGATTAACGTTTGTACCTCATCTCAAGATAGTTTGCGTAGCATTCATTCACGGCAGACCACCTCATACGGAAACGTAGTAAAATGTCACTTAGGCATAAGTTGGCAATTTACAAAAATTGCATTCGCCCTATCATGACCTACGCATGTGTTTGCTTCGCCCACTGTCGCGTCTAAAACCCTTACAAATACTGCAAAATTGTGTATTGCGCGGTGCCACGGTTTGCACTTGGTACCTATGCGCGCAATATTGATTTGCTTCGCGATCTCAAATAAGACTCCATCGCGAAGTATATGAAGGACGCCTCGAGACGTTACTTCGATAAAACCGCGCCTCATCCGAACCCCTTAGTAGTCAAAGCCTGTAGTTATCACACGTCCGCCCTCCCGTCCTCCCGTCCTCCAATCGTAGGTCCCTCCTATTCCGTCGGCATAGGCACGTCTTAGAGTACCCCGACGACGAAATCACCCGCGCCAACGCGCCTCCGCCTCCCCCTACACAGGCCACATACACGAACACTGCACAGCTAGCATACTTTCACACCAGCTTAGCATTACGCAGACACCGCACCCGTAGAATAAGTGTGCGAAGACCCGCTCTACACACGATACGCTATACCAGGTACAGTGTACGTACCTGGGCGTTTTCCCACACTCAAAAAAAGAGACAATAATTGGATTTAATAAGTACGGAATATCATATCCTAATATAAAAACTTTAACTGTTTGATTTTTTATCACAAAAAACTAACAAAAGAAATAATTTTATTCATTCTATTAAGTGCTCAGTCTGTATATTATAGCTCATGTTTGATTTCTATGTCACTGGTTAGGACAGTTACCTGCTTTTGAAAAAAAAAACCTTATTTATACGTACAAATGAAAGCAGGTTTCATAAAACCCTTTCACGTCCAAGGTTAACGGAAGTTACGTATGTACTTACCGTAGAGGAATGATCTGGGCACGTGCCGTACATACAATATAAACGGGTGAATCTCATGAGATTTACGAGTAGTTTGAGTTGCGATCACTAAAAGTAGGCACTCATACGAGTACTGAGCTGTCTAAACTTTTGATAAGTGTGTTAACTTTATTTTATACTGCATAGTTGTGTTGAAAAATTATCTCTTGCACAAATATAATTTTTGAAGTTGATATTTCAAATAAATCTAATGAATTTTTATGTATGCCTAAAATGTTGAAAAGTGCCGAAATATTTATACCTACAGCTGCGACTAAATAGAAAGGCTAGTAAACATTATCTTAAAGTTTAGTAGAGTAAAGCAGTCGAGTGCTTAAGTAGATTTGGTGCTGTTCCAGTGGACGTTTATAATTGTTCTAGTAGAGTCCCATTTCTTCACCAGGATGGGCGAGCAACATGGTGCAATAAGTGATATTTTTCGCTAAATACTGGGACGGAATAATGGAACAAATAGAGAAAGAAATAACCTCGTTTATACCAAAATCCTGAATGTCCATTGACTCTTTTATTTTAATGTATACTGTATGTCTGGTCATACTTATTATTTGTGACGTTCCACAAACATACATATTCCGTCATAAATTTCAAAGCCGAATCTTCTATCTTCTATCATTTCGCCATTGCAAATTTATTAGGTGTGAGCGTTCTAAAGACGAACCGGTTTCAAGGACCGTTTTGTGTTCCGCGACGATAGAACCGTTTTACGTTTCGGATCAAAACAGTCTTCGTCGAACAACTAGTCCTCGGATTGTCTGCACGCCAATATGTACTTTATGATGAAGTAAATACAGTCTATAATAGAACGCAGTGATATGACATGCTGTTTCGTTCTATGATAATTCAGCTTTGATTTTAGAATAATATAATCTTTATTATTGAACATTTAAAGTCGATTATCGTATAACACTACATTTTTTTCGATGTTTCGTCGTCTCGTTCGCAGCAACGAAAAGAACGTTAACAAGATTTCATTTAGTTCAGTTTCGTTGCGTTCATTCGTTCGACCGTCGCATGTCGTTTCGTTGCATCACCCAGCCGCAACCATAACCAGTTGCGAACGAGAACCGTTTCGAGGACTAGTTTTCGTTTAAGAGAAAACGGTTGCGTTTCGTCGTCAGAAAATTTGAGAACGACCCACCGCTAAAATTTATGCACGCGTCTACCGACACTAATGCACTCTAATCTACGATACTAATCTGTTGCATAAATAAAAGCAAGGATAGTAAAGCGTGGGGGATAAGCGGAAGGGGTGCCTCTGGAAACAATAATAGAAACCAATCCTCTTTTGATTCTCAAATGTCTCAATACTCATAGATTTCATAAAGATTTATTCTCATATTTCAAGCGAGTGGATTCGTATTAAAGCGACTAACTACAAGCTATCGTTTACAGTTTTCTACTAAAGTACTCTAGTTAAGCACTCTACTAAACACTGAGATAATATAAACTAACCTTGTAAAGTATCCCTAAATCAATACCTCATTAATGAATGTTCAGTTTACTTTTTATGTTGTTTCGAAACAAATTCATAATACCTAACATATTTGTAGAAGCTACGAATATTGACGTTAATTTTTTAGTAACAATAGATGGACAAAAATGATCTGTAATCCTTTGTGAAAGAAACAAACAATATGGAAAAATTAACAAAAGCTATTGTTTAGAGGATTGAGACGTAATGGAAATGGACTCTGCTTCGTACCGAGAGATAATTTTGAGTAAAAACAAGTTACATTTAGGTAAATGGAAGTTAGCACTTAAAGCTATCAGAAAATTGGCGAAATCTGAAGAAATTCTTTAGAGCAGACGGATGGAGCCGAAAACTGCTTTGAATATATTACTCAATTACATTAAGTCGTAAGGCTGCATAGGTACGGTTAGTGAACGAACACCATTCCAATGCTGTTTACACGGCGCCGCGGCGCTCGGAAACATTAAGGCCATGTTTGCAATTTCAGTACAGAACTGAGTGTAAAGTTTGTTTGTATTGTAACCCCCAATGTTTCTTTGCCTTTTTTATGCGATTCGTTTAAGATTGGAGTTAATGCTCTAATGGCCTGCTCAAATGAATGATTTATGTCCACGCAGGTCAAAAGTCCCTGAATCGTGAAGCAAATTTCCACCGAGTACTTGTCACGGACTCAAAGCACACGATGTGCTAACATTGTCCCCTGAAAATTTAGAAAAGCGCACGCCGTGGGAATAAATATTTTCAGATTACGTTGTATTGTAATAAACATGAAGTTTAAGAAAATGAGAAGACGTTTTAAAAGAGAATACTTTTATATAAATTGGATCGAGCGCGTAATGCGGACCCAAGTTCGCTGTGTGCGTTGCTGCGTCTATAGCTAAACCGCTTAACTGAGACCTTGCCTGCGAGGCACAGGGTATGGGGGAGGATGAGAACAGTGGGGCCGTGAGAGGTGCGGGCAGCGGGCACTTGTAATTTTGGCAAGAATGTGCCTGCCACCCGCACCGCACCTCTCACGGTCCCCGTTTTTGTCCTCCCCTACACCCTTTACCCCGCAGGCGAGAACTCAGTGAAGCAGTCTAGCTATAATCACCGGAGTTCTATTTTTTCGGGGTCACCCGCGTACTTTTTTCCTTTCCGGTGTTTCGATGTACTTGGTTGTACGGTCTATTCCACTATGATCACCTGGGTCATCATGGGTGACTCTTTAGTTGCCTTTGATCACCCACGAATATAATCACCTGGGTGTTCATAGGTGACCCCAAAAATAAATCCACCTCGCGGTGATCATAGTAGAATAGACCGGTTATTGGTCCGGTCGGGGTACTTTTTGTACGCGGTACTTTTGATCTGTCGTGTGCGTTTCTCGATGCAGTTGTAAACGATCTATTTTGGAGGATAAAAAAATCCCTCGAACAGGGCAGGCTACAATGAAATGAAATGAAAGTTTATTTGCATGAAATATAATTTTTTACAGTTGGTAAATAAAATAAAATAATGTTTCACCCTTGGAAGAGCATACACAATACTAATAAACTATTAAAAAATCAAATTTAAATAGTGTAATAGTTGCATTCCAATAATTATACAAAGGACAATGGGCAAAACACACCCAGCTCCGCCAACAATGTAATTAGTATGAATCGATAGATCTATGAAAAACTAGCCTTTTATTATGATACCGTAAAAAAATATCCTGGGAGTCAAAAGATATGACACATGGGCATATTTAAGTAGCTAAATAAATTCATTTTATAGTTCCTTCATTTCATATTATTAGTAACCATAATAATACGCCATATCGTACTATACAACCAGATATACGACAGAGCCTGCCGATCCATCCTGCGCTTGCACTTACTGAGCCACCTCAAAACGGTTTACGGGGGTTGAAGGACTTGCAGTTGCAAATAGTTGACTTGTCTTACTTCGTTGTGACTGTGCACTCCCTGTCACTTGATTGATTTTTATCGAACACGCTTTGGATATTGGAACACAATTATCGGTTTTGTCAATTAGTATGGATGAACTGGAATCTTGTTTTCTCCGAAGCGTGGACAAGTTTGGGTGATGTGTGGTCGCTCCGTTTTACAAAGAAGACAATTTGCTTAAACGAACAGAATGTTTGAAAAACCCCCAACCCGTGCGGGGATTTTTGGATTCACTCTAGTACGGCAGAATAACATAAGGGGGCACCCTTGAACCTTGTGAAGTACTCCCATAATACCTGAGCCCCCTATGTAGTATCAAACTTACTAACTAAATTAATTCCCTTGTTTCATTAATGTTCGTTCGTTAAAGTACTTGTACCCATTTAACTTAAAATAACTAAAGACTCCCGGGTTGGAATTTAACGCGCTTTGGTACAAATGATCATGACTATAATACCTTTCAAACAAATGTAGTTTAAGTCGTGGTGGACGTGGGTGCAGCGTCCATACATTTTTGCCCAATGTCCTTTTCTAAGTCAATAGCCATTTCTTAATTATGCCAACACAATTATAATTATTAATTCATAATAAGAATTCATTAGTACTATACAAACATTTACTTATCAACCAACCTCTGCGTAAGCTTAAACGTAACCTTTTACATTATACCATTAATTTTATAACAATAAAACATAAAACAGCTAAGAACATTGCAGAACAGTTAGGTTACTCCAGTAAAATTACTCAATTATCTTTGGTCTATGATTTATGGTACTATTTTCGAAACGAAGAAGGTTTCTTTAGCTCCTCAGGGTAAACCAAAGGGAATGGAGTCGGTATTAGGTAACGTGCAAGTGATCCTTTTTCAACACTAAGGGCTATGTAACGTGAGAGCAGAGCTATGCCCTCGTTGAATAGTCTTGCCTTCAGTTCTAAATAACAGGTCTCACTTTGTAACTTAACGCTTATAAAATATAGATCTTTTGCAATATTTTTGTGATGTTTATTCTTTCCTCTACAAGGAACTGGTAAAGACGATACCTAGGATGATAACACGAAAACATATCTCCATAATATAGACCTTAAAACTATCCTACTTCATACTTAGTGTTAACGCGAAAAGTTGTATGCATATGTTTAAATGTAAGAAAAGAATTTTCTTTATTTCTTATATAGGTAAATGTTTGATATTTTTTCACGGTATCTGGACGGATTTGCATGAAGCTTAACATAATATTTATAGTTTTGTAGTTAAATTTTTTTTAGTTACCTATATTGACACATAAGATACCATTATTCAGAAAAAAACTAAAATTCTTGTGGGATTCACTAAAAAACTATCTATTATAAAGCGGCTGCAGACGCGGGGAGAACCTAGTCAATACTAAATAATGAAAGAGATTAAACTAGGTTTCATGATAATATCCCACCCAATGAGGAATACTTATAGCAAAAAAAGATGTTCCATACCTTTTGCGTTGGTTTTTTCTGCATTCGACTCACACGCCGTATTAACAGGGGAGCGTCGGCGTCAATAGATTCTGCTTTTATTTTCACTTGATGAATTGCCATGGTATTCGGCAACATTTTCCCTGCATATTTGCCTAAACATTCACGTATCTGTTGCAGCAACAAAATGCGATAAGATTTCATGAAAGCACACACTTCGCGACAGTTACATTTGGTTTTCCTTCCTTGCAGTTATAATATTTTAATGCCCACATTTGCGGCTTCACCTTTTTATGGTATAAAAATTATTTTAGCTTATAATTTCGTGGGCATATTCTCTATAATGGATGGGAACTCTATAAGGTTCAGTGCAAACGAATATGGCCTTAGCATGTGAGATCAGAAGTGAAGATATTGCATAGATCATCATCAGCCTATTAATGTCCCCACTGCTGGGGCACAGGCCTTCCCTATGGATGGAATAGGGAGATTGGGCCATGACCCACCACGCTGGCCCAGTGCGGATTGGTGGGTGCTTACGACTGCAGATGCAGCCGGGACCAACGGCTTAACGTGCCTTCCGAAGCACGGGGGAACTCGAGATAGTAAATTTTTGGTCACCCATCCAATCGCCGACCACTGCGAAAATTGCTTAACTTCAACGATCGCAGCTGATCGCGCTAACCACTTGCGCCATCGAGCTCCTCACTTGATTATGTTCCTTAATACCCACACTTTCATGATCAGCCTATTAATGTTCCCATTGCTGGGGCACGGGCCTTTCCTATAGATGGAATAGGGAGAATGCGCTAACCACTTGCGCCATCGATCTTCTCTCCATCACATTTTTTATTCATAATATTAGAAAGATTTGTAGGTAGCATTATACATAGTTACCTATAGGTTGAACGGGATTTAAGTACCTAATTGTAAAATGCTAAAGTTTAGGATGTCAACCTCAGCGAAATTTTCATTTTGTTTTAACATAATTTATGTTACGGAATCAAATTTCGTTCAAAGTCAGCTCAGGACTTAGGCTACTAATCCAGATATCAGAAGACAACTCATTAAATATTAATTGAGGACTGGTAAAGTACTTAAGATTATATTTTGCTTAAGTAAAATATCTTGATTTAATTTCTCTTTTGATGATCTATCAAAAAACTATGGATTAAGGAAGGATGCCGCAGTAAACTAGAACTTAACTGAAGTTAATATACCTGATGTAAAAATACCTAATATGACTTTTGGTAAATCGAGACATATATAACATAACTAATATTTCCGTTCCTATTTCTTCGTTTACTTTACGGGATAACATCGGTAAATAAGTGATGAAAGAGGTAAAAGGAACTAATTATTATCTAACTGAGATTCAATTATAAAATTCAAAGGTTGAATTTTCCTTAAATTTTAACTGTTATTGACTTATAGACGTTTAAGGGAGAATTTTATCAATTTAGCGCTAATTAACATTTAATTTAACTTTGCACTTAACCTTGAACGCTTCTGTGTAGTTTAATGTAGTATTGCGTAACATTATCTTATATTAATATTTAAATAGTGTTTCGAAATTACTAACCGTCTCTTCCGCTACTCTGGCACACTCTGCAAAATTTGGTGGCAATTTTCGTATACGCTGGCCCCGATGAGCCAAAACCAGTGCTCGTTCAAAAGCTCGTTTCTCATATTCGGTCTGCGCCCGAATTTGGAGGGCCGAAATGTTCTCAGGCTCCAACTCTGCATAACAGTGAAATATGAGCAGCAATTAACAACTCTGTTTTTAATGGGGAAAATATTCGAAGAATGGAAACGAAATCCGGGTAACATGTTGCTGCGTACTGTCGCCATTCTATGTAAGTGTAGCTATTTTTTAGAGATTCATACCTCAAAAGAAAAAACGGAATCCTTATAGGATCGCTTTGTTCGTCTGTTCGTCAGTCCGTCTATTCGTCAAGACGCTTTATCTCGGAAACGCGTAGAGTTATCGAGTTAAAATTTAAACCACATACTCAGGACTACGGCCCCATGAAGCTATGAAAAAATCAAAGTTTTAAATTAACGTGAAAAAAAATATGGGCGTTTATCTGTTTGTCCGTCAAGACCCTTTATCTTGGGTACACGTTAAGGTATCGAGTTAAAATTTAATGAATATATTCAATTCTATGGTTTATTGAAGCTGTGAAAAAAACAAATTTCTAAGATAACGTAAAAAGAGATACTGCAGCTTATGTTGCGTACCTACAAATTTGTACGAATCCCACGGTAGACGAGTCTGACTCGCACTTGTCCAGATTTTTTTTATTAGGGTTATGTTTCGACAGTTTATTTTCCTTATAATTTCTTAATCAATTACTCTGTAGGGTAATAGGTAATAACTGTAATTTAAACTTAGCAATAAAATCCGTATCTAATAATGACGAGCCACCTTCTTTTACTACATAAAAATCTATTATGTGAGTAATAAACCGGTAATTGCATTGTACCTACACAATTAATATGCCTCCCAATATAGGACATTAACCTCTTTCGGGTTAGGTACTGATAATTAACGACTTTGAAATGAGCTTTGTATATTTTTCTCAGAAATCACCGTTACTGTCGAACCACTGTCAATTTCGAGTTGCAGCGAAAGGTTATTAATAAATATTGTTTCTAATGTAGGCTCTCCATACTATGAACGGATATGATAAAGCTTATCATCGTCGCTCTCACCGTCCTCACCCTGGGCACTGCAATCCACAACATAATTCACTTTGCGACATTTAACGTAAAGGACAATGGGCAAAACACACCCAGCTCCACCAACAATGTAATTGGTATGAATCGATAGATCTATGAAAAACTAGCCTTTTTTATTATGACACTGTAAAAAAATATCCTGGTAGTCAAAAGATATGACACCGTAAAAAATATCGTGGTAGTCAAAAGATGTGAGAGACACATGGGCATATTTAAGTAGCTAAATAAAAAAAAATACATTATTAGTAAACATAATAATATGCCATATCGTACTATACAACCAGATATACAACAAAGCCTGCCGACAATCCTGCGCTTGCACTTAAGTACTGAGACACCTCAATACGGTTTACGGGGGTTGAAGGACAGTTGCAAATAGTCGACTCGTCTTACTTCGTTGTAATTGTGTGCGCCCTGTCACTTGATTATTTTTATAAAACACGCTTTGGACATTGGAACACGATTATTGGATTTGTCAATTAGTATGGATGAACTGGAATCATGTTTTCTCCGAAGCGTGGACAAGTTTGTGTGATTTAAGGTCGCTCCGTTTTACATAGAAGACAATTTACTATAAGAAACAGTGTTTGAAAAACCCCAACCCATGCGGGGATTTTTGGATATACTCTAGCACGGCAGAACAACATAAGGGGACACCCTTGCACCTTGTGAAGTATGTACTCCCATAATACCTGAGCCCTCTATGTAGGTTCGAACTAAAGTAAATTAATTTCCTAGTTTAATTAATGTTCGTTCATTATAGTACTTGTACCTATTTAACTTACAATAACCAAAGACCCCCGGGATGGAACTTGATGTGCTTTGGCACAGATGATCATGATTATACCTTTCAAACAAATGTAGTTTAAGCCGTGGCGGACGTGGGTGCAGCGTCCATACATTGCCCATTGTCCTTTTCGCGCATATTGCACTTTTTACATTTATATTTAGCGTATTTCCACTCCGCGGTTTTATGATTAGTATACTTGTAAACACTACACTACCGTTTTCCCACTTTGCGTGGTTCTAGATATTTTAAACACCTGACCTGACCTGACTATATGTTTGGTGATGGTGCAGTCAGACGACGCGCTGGCAACAGCCGCTGCACGAGCATGACTGGCACTCTGTGCTATTTCTACGACATTTGCAAACGTCAGGTTCGTCAGATCAAGAGCGTAAAGTTTCTTCTTCTCGTACCCCAAGCGCATGCCCATAATAAACCTGTCCCGCAGCGCTTTCTCCACGTTAAGGAAACCACATCGCGAAGTCAGACCTCGAAGCCGTGTGGGTGGCAAACCCACTGTGAATGAAACTCCTCCGTGAATTGCGTCACGACGTAGAAATTATGTCATTCACCAAATCTAGTCCCACCACCAAATCAGCCATTTAATAACATCTTGGTAAGGCACCTCCCTGATGTCTTTGGGCAAAACCAAATCCGATGCCAACTTGTAGGTAGCCTCCGTGAGTGCGCTGAGAAGGATGGCCTTCCTCTTCGTGTCCGTCGCATCTGTGCTATGGTTGATGCATTAGCAAATATTGCATAATGCGTCTTTTATAAGTCTCGCGTAGTTGTGAATTATGGTCAAAACTACAAAAAAAAATATTTCATATTTTATACTTTTGATGTAGGTAGGTAAACGTCGCCAATGTTAAATATAAGGACTGGCGTGTGCACAAGTGAAACGAGCCGATACTCCTTTATTGGACAGAACGACACGACAATGGCCGCAGCTACCTATATATGTATTTACATACATAACACAAGCAAACAAACATTATACAACTACTATAATTTCATGCTGAGAAATATAATTCAAACTTTACTCCACTAGAAATACTTAAATTAGAAATATTTAGAACACTTAGGCCCACTTGCACCAAAGTTTCAAATTAAGGCTTAATCGTGTCTAACACATCATTCCAACTTTATCAATCATCTGAAGCCAAATAGAAAAAGAAAGAAACTAAACATGATGAGCTTTTAAATTTGAATAAAGAACTATGGTATAAGTGGCCCTAAGAGCGTGCACTGCGTTAAGCGGGGCACAGAACAGGCGTCTGCTCGGCGTGTTTGTTTCATATGATTTCATAAAGCAGCGCTGCGTGAGATAGGTCTCCCGCGCCGCGCTGTTCTATGAAATGACATAAAAACTGCACGCTCGGACGGCCGCTCCGTGTACCGCTTAACGCAGCGCACGCTCTTGAACTTATGCTTTTAGTAGGTATATGCACAGATTATTTATAGTATTAGGTAATTAACTTAAAACTGTCCACTTTTACTTTAAAAGTCGAAGCAAATATAGGTGTACGCATGATCATAGAGATTAGAAAGACAAGTAGCGAAAATGTCTTATCCAA